ATTCCACATGTGTGTAGTGATCTTCAAATGGCTGATGCATTTACAAAATCCATGGCATGGCAACGCCATAAGTTTCTAGTAGGCAAATTGATGCTTCTTGATCCACCAGCATCAATTTCAGGGGGGATTTTAGGATGATGGACAGCTAAATAATTGTATATATTAAAGTAATTATATAGTGCTATAAATTAGTATTATCATATTGATTTATTGTAGAATCAAAGGAATAAATATTGTGATAGAATAGCTATTTTGGAGGGATAGCAAAGCAAATTTAGAGGGATTGAATAGCACATTTGTAGAGATAGAGTAGTTGATCTTTAGGGATAGGAATTGCGAATCTTTAGGGATGTGTAATCTTTGTTCTCTTATATAATGAAAAGACTCTCACTTTGAGAGGCATTCAACAGAAAATTGATAGTTTGATATTTATTTTAGTGTATGCAAACAAGTTTTAACTAGTTGTGATATATGTCCTCTTGCTAAACATACAAGAAGACATTTTCTTGTTAGTACTTCCAATTTTTTATTTGCCACACCTTGATGTATGGGGTCCTTTTCATGTTCAAATTTTGATGGCTATAGATTCTTTTTTACCATTGTGGATGATCACTCACGTATGGTTTAAATTTAGAGAAAAGACATAAAGGCACAACTGAAGTTATCTCATATTTTCATAAAGACACCTTAACTTTGGAAGTGTCCTATCACCCCACAAAACTTTTTGATATCTTTGTAAATGGGCCATTTTGGCTCATTCCCTCGTCTGGGTTGTCGCGCGTGATGATCACTCTTTTCAACCCGTTCAGCCCGACCCGATTATTTACTAAAGTAGAAAAGTCTTTTTTTCTTTGTTATTTCTCTGCTTTCCAAATTCTTCACATTTTCTTGTCTCTCTATCAAGGAACTCGAGAACAAGAGGAAGGAGAGAGCGCAGGTAGCATACGAGAGGAGAAAGCAGTAGGCAAAACTTAGAGTTAAGGCTGAGAAAGTTGCTGAGGAGAAGCTTGGACCTCAACTCACCATTATTGCTCTACTCAAGAATTGAATTGGGACATAGTTATTTCGAAGTACAATTTTGTTGAAGATCGATAAATCGTCTTATAATTATCTTTCTCTTTTTGTTTCTCTTTCTTGGTATTGTAATTGGGTTTTGCTTTGATTTTTGCCTTTCTCTGTTTTTGGGTTGAATTTGTTTTAGTATTTTCTCACTTGGGTGTGAACAATTTTTGTTGGGTTTGAGTTTTTCAGTCAAATTAGGATTTCAAAATAGAGGGAATTTGAGAATTGATTGCTCAATTGAGACTTTAAGGAAGTTGTTAATGGAGATATTATAAAGAAGAGCTTGAAAATGGTAATGTTGAGTTTGAAACGTAATGTTTTGGGGAAGAAGATGATTTAAAGCACTTAAATAATTAATAAAGAAAACCAGTGAAATATGGCACTTTTTAATTGGGTTTTATCAGAAAAAATAAACATTCACGCGCGTATTGTGCGTGTTCACAAACCAGTTGAGAAAATGGGTCAAAATGACCCTTTTACAACGATATTCAATACTTTTGTGGGGTAATAGGACACCCGTATAGTTAAAGTGTCTTTTTGAAAATTCGAGACAACTTTAGGTGTCACTTTATGTCTTCACTCTTGAATTTATTTGTTAAAGCTTAAAAGTGATGTTGTAGTGATTCTTAAATATTTATTCAGTTAATCAAAAAACAATTTCATAAATCACTGAAAGTCATCAGATAATGGAACTGAGTTTGTTAACTCAGCATGCCTGTAGTTATTTTTGGATAATGGTATAATACGTCAAAGAACCTGTATCTACACTCCACAACAAAATGAAGTTGCAGAGAGAAAGCACATATATAATTTGAAATTGGACTAGGCAATTAGATTTCGAGGCTCCATTCTTTTAAATTTTTGGGGCCATTGTGTCCTAGGTGATATGTATTTGATGAATAGACTACCCTCTGATTCTTTGAGAGGGAAAACACCTTTTGAGGTTTTGTCATGGTCACAAACATTCCATCACTCATTACAGGACTTTGGGTTGTTTGTGTTTTGCCAAGAAGTTACCTCCAGGGGATAAGTTTGATTCCAGAAGTGTGTCGGCAATCCATATGGAGTATTCATCAGTGACTAAGGGTTATGTGCTATATAGTTTGGTTACTTATTCTTTTTTCTTGTCAAGGGATGTGCTATTCAAGAAGAATATTTTTCCATTCAGGATCTCTTTCTCTTACTGAATACCTCTACTGATCCATTCATTCCTGAACCACAAATCACTTTATTTATTGTTGCTTTGCCTTTTGATCCTCCTATAGTTGATCCAACTCTTGGTGATTATGATGTTCCTGTTGTTCCTGATAGTTTACCTGTTCAACAACCATCCTTTAATGACACGTGTTAGACTATCTTCCAGACCAAGAAAACAACTTACCTAAATGACAGATTATGTTTCCAATGGTGCTTCAGAGAAAATCATGTATCCTCTTTCTCATGTATTGAGTTATCCTAATCTTTCTCCTGCCTATCGTCAGTATTTAACTACCGTTTCTTGTGTCACTAAACCTAAGTCTTATCATGAGGCTTGTTTAGATCATAAGTGGATTTAGGCTATGCAGGAAGAGATCCAGGCTTTTGAAGCTAATCATACTTGAAAATTGGCTACCCTACCTCAAGGGAAGCATCTTTTTGGTTGTAGATGGGTTTATAAGGTGAAATTTAAGGTTGATGGTCAAGTGGAAAGATACAACACAAGGTTGGTTGCTAAAGGTTACAATCAAAGGGAGGATTGTCACAATGAAAAGTATGTTATTTATAGTTGGTGCTTTAGGTTGGCACATCCATCAAATAGAAGTGTATACTGCCTTTCTACATGGTGACATACATGATGAGGTCTACATGTCACTGACCGAAGGATTTTCTAGCCAGGGGGAATCACAAGGCTTATTATGCAGGCTAGTTAAATCTCTATGTGACCTTAAACAAGCTAGTAAACAGTGCAATGTCAAGCCTACAAATGCCTTGCTTACATTTGGTTTTGTGCATAGTAGCTTGGATCATTCATTGTTCATTGGAAGACAACATAAGAAGATTGTAATGATTTTGGTGTATGTTGATTACATATTAATAGATGGTAATGACTTAAGCCTGATTGAACAAACTAAGCAACAATTGCACATCAAGTTCAAAATCAAAGACCTTGGAACTTTGAAGTATATTTTAGGGATTGAATTCAGTAGAACATAAAGGAATTTTGATGAATCAAAGAAAGTATGCCTTAGAGATGATTTTAGAAAGTAGGTCTCACTAGATCCAAGTCATCTTGGATACCAATACACACCAATACAAAACAGACAACTAAAAAAGTGGATGAAGTGATAGGAACAATTGATGATCCAGTATTAGAAGACATTTGATCATATCAAAGGTTGATTGGAAAATTGCTCTACCTATTACTAACAAGACCAGATGCTTGCTTTGTTGTTTAAACATTAAGTCAGTACTTACATAAACCCAACAAATCTCACATGGAAGCAACACGAAAAGTAGTAAGGTACATTAAGAGGCAACCTGCTATGGGAATTTCGATGAGTAGCAAAAGTGAAAGCAAATTGATAAGGTATTGTGATGCAAATAGGCATCATGTCCCAATACCAGAAGGTCAGTAACATGACTCTTGATCAAACATGGTGAGTCTTAGATTTCCTGGAAATTCAAGAAACAAAAAACCATTTCAAGAAGCAAAGTCGAATCAGAATACATGAGTATCGCTTCAAATGTTTCTAAAATAGTATGGCTTGCTGGATTGTACAAAGAATTGGGTGAAGAACTAAAGATTTCAATAGATCTTTTTTGTGACAGTAAAACAGCATTGCAAATAGCAGGAAATTCAATATACCACGAGAGGACTAAGCACATAGAGATAGATTATCATTTCATTAGAGAAAAGATTTAAAATGGGTTGATCAAGCCATTGCTTTTTGAGAAGCAAGTAGATATCATGCCAAAGGGGCTATTCAGATCACAACATGAATATTTAGTACCCAACTTGGGAGTCTTAGATGTTTTTATACCCACCAGCTTAAGGGGGAGTAATGAAGTAGGTGTTGTGACTTGATCACATTATTTAGATATCAAGGTATCTTTTTAATGTCAGTTATAACAACCAGTAAATAATTGTTAGTTAGAAGATTAGTTTAGTTGTTAGTGTACAACTGTCAGATAGGGCATGTATATAATGGAAAGTATTAGGTCATTCTCTACATTCATTGTTGTAGCAATTACTCAATTCTCTCTAAAGGCAAGGAATGAATTTGTGCCTACTTTGTGATTTTCATTCTTTTCTTAGCTAAACTGATAGTAGATCTAGTTTAGTTGCATGTAGGTACTAATCAGATCATAAATAATTCAAGACAAGATCTACTAACGAAAGTTAAATCTATATTGATTAATGGAGAAGACCTAAATTCCTAATATATGAGTTAGAAGATTTCAAAATATGGATTTCAGGGCAACAAATCAATTCATCTAGCTAGTAATCAGAAGTTACACTAGAAGCTTATCTTTGTCTCAATATAGATTTCTTGTCAGTGATTGGCAGCACTTGATATTTATTCCTACACAATGGTATTGGCGAAAACTCAATCTATGAGGGAGAAATGTTGAGAACGGTTTATCATTAATAGCGAAATCTGATAACAATTGATAAATCAGAGACCAAAAAGAGTTGAAAACTATTCTATATTTCTATGCCTAACAATTGATAAACTACCCACTATTCTAGCACAATGTCATATCATATCTTGCATAATATCAATGGTGTCATTGTGCTTAGTTAAATTAGAATATTGTCCCGAATCTTTCAGAATCATATCAGATATTTGGAGTCATATCAGATATGTTTTGGAATCATATCAGATATGTTTTGGAATCATATCAGATATGATTGGGTATCATATCTGATATGGTCAGCATCCCCTCTCAAATTGATGCTACTTATCAAGAAGCATTAATTTGGATAATAGGAATTGGTGTCTGCTCCTTGTCATCACTTTTGTAAACAAGTCTGCCAATTGATCATGTGACATGATATCTCGAATACTGATGACTTGATCAACAACATGTTCTTGAATATATTGGCAGTCCACCTTAATGTGCTTTGTGGTCTCATGATGGACCGAATTTGTTGCTATTTGTATTGCACTAGTATTATCAGCATGTAATGTAGTGGAGCCATCAACAGAGATATGAAGTTCTGCCATCAATCGATATATCCACACAATTTCAGAGCAAGCAGCTGACATTGATCTATATTCTACCTCCGTTGATGATTTTGAAATTCTTGGCTGCTTCTTGCACTTCCATGAGATAAGTGATGATATGATTAACATACACCATCCTGTCGTAGACTTTCGAGAGTTTGGACATCCTGCCCAATCTGCATCTGTATACCCTTCGAGATTTAGAGATGATGTTGAATGAAAGAAAAGACCTCGATTAATTGTACTCTGAACATAGAGAATGATTCTAAGGAGGGATGAAAAATGATGCTGGCAAGGATTTGTAACAAATTGGCTCAAGACTTGAACTGGATATGAGATGTCAGGTCTTGTTATTGTCAAATAAATTAGACAACCAATGAGCCTCCTGTACAGTGTTGGTTCTGCAAGAGGGTCACCATCATCATTTTTGTACATCACATTTATCTCCATAGGTGTGTGAGCTACCTTCTGATCACTTAGACGTGCTTGTGTGGGAAGATACTCTGCATACTTCCTTTGGCTTAGCATGATACCATCCTGCAAATATTCAACCTCCAACCCCAAAAAATATGTTAACCTGCCAAAGGTCCTTTATTTTTAAAGTTGCATTAAGAAGATTCTTGAGTTGTGCATGTCACGCCCCGAGCTACCCACGAAACGCGGACATGGGACCTAGGATCACAAGTGACCCCAAGCTAACCCTACTGGTATAATCATGGGCATACTAAAGATAAACTGAGAAATAAAACAGTTGCGGAAGCTAATCATACGAAACTCTGAAATGATGGGGAATACCCATATAATAAAACTGAATATCAAATCTGAGAGTTTAATATAAAAGAAATATCAACTCAAATACTAAGTTGAATCTAACTATATCTGAAAATAGTCTCTCACTGACTAGAAGTGTTGGGACATGCCCCACCTTATTCTAGCAAAACTGAAACTCAAAGACTGAAATAATGAAAAGATAACATGACTATTGTCCTCGAAGAATGAGGACTCACCACTGATGCTACTGAACTGGAGATCGGGAACCGATTTAAGCGTGATCTAAATGCTGAGAATTTGAACCTACATCACGAAAAGATGTAGCGCAGAGTATGCGTCAATAAATGAAAGGTACTGAGCATGCATGATAGAGTAAAGCTAAAATAAACATATAAATAAACAAGCAATAAAGCAAGAGCATAATTTGAACATGATATAGATACAGAGCTAATTGAATGCAATGACCAAATTATAACATGCTGAGACCGAATACTGAACTGTACTGAAATATGGTCAATGCAATGGAATCTGACTGAACTGTGGGAGCTACTAATAACCGATAATAAAATCACATGAGCTAAATATGGAGTCCGATATATACTCCCCATCAAGAGGACCCAATACACCCGACCAAGGGTATAGAGGCATGCTGTCATGATCACTAAAATGATGCCCACATAGGGGACTTACAACCTACGTGGCTCGTAGTTTTGAGGCTATATAGGTGACTGACCCTAGTCCAACTCGGTATTATGCTATTCCTAATGGATTAAGTGATTAACACATTATGATTGAATTTTTTTGATATACTGGATAGCTCAAAATGACATCCAAATTGAGAATGCACATAAATAACTGATAATGACACATTTAAGACTGAGGCATGTATATTTGGAATAACTGAAATATCTAGCCTAGCACGTGTAATCCAGGAACTAAAGAACTACATAGCTAGGGTTCTGAAATTCATGCAATCGTCTGAATATTAACATACTAATCTGATTTGGATCATTCTAACAGCAAAGAACCCAATAATCTTAATTATTCAAGAAACCCTAAGTCTAGTCATAATAAGGGAATCAAGAAACTGACTGAAAACTAGGGACCTAATGGGTGAAAGGAACCCACTAGTGAAATCCCACATACCTGGTGACGAATTCCACGGAGAAATCTTTCGATTTTGGGGCTGGAATTGATGGAATCTTGCTGGGTTCTTGAACTAGGGTTCTTGACCACTTTTCTCCTCTCAAGCTCTAATTATCTAAGTTTTGATTAATGATTTTGACTAAGGTAGGTTCTAGTTATGTTTCTAGGCTTAAACTGACTAAAATATCATAATTTAGGGTCTAAACGACGTAGTTTAGGGGTCCAACGCATAGGGAAAAGACCAAAATGATCCTGACTTAAACGCTGTCGGGACCAACCAACGGACCTGGTCCACGAACCGTGGTCCACTCTACAGTCCGTCCTGGTCTTCCGTTGTTGGGCTCAGAGGATGGGTTCTGCGGACTACACTTCACGGACCTGGTCCACAGACCGTGGTTCAACCTACGGTCCGTAGGTCCTGGTCGTGGGTCGGGGTTTTTTTTTTCTGCAGACCACATTCCAGGGACCTAGTCCACGAGCTATGGTAACACCTATGGTCAAGGTTTTCTGGGGATTTTTCTATGGACAACGTTCCACGGACCTGTCCACGGGCTGTGGTCCAACCTACGATCCGTAGGTGGCACGTGCACTTTTGGAAATCTGCATTCTGGTCTATCTAGGATACGGGGTGTTACATTATCTCCCCCTTGGGAATATTCATCCTCGAATGAAGACTAAACTAGAATGAATTGAGGGAAAGAGCTGCAAACCCTACCACTAAACACTAAAAACTGATTTTTGACTGAACTGAGTTCCAAAACATGCAAATACGCTGAAAATTCAAGTACAAACTGAAGGAACATGCTACTAAGACTGAATCTACGCATGAATGACTGAAAAACTGAAGAGGAACTATTACCTCAAGCTGGAATGGATTCGGAAGGAAAGAGATGAGGATACTTGGCTTTTATGGCTGCTTCTGCTTCCCAAGTAGCTCCCTCTACGGACCGACTCCTCCACCAAACCTTGACTTAAGCGACTTCCTTGTTTCTCAATCTTCTAACCTGAGGATCAAGAATCTCAACTGGTACATCCTCATAAGAAAGGCTATATTTTACAGCCACATTCTCTAATGGCACTACGAATGCTGGATCACCCATACATTTCTTCAATAGATAAATGTGAAAGACTGGATGCACTGCTGCTAAATTTGCTGGCAACTCTAGCTCATAAGACACTTTACCAATCTTTTTCAAGATACGGTAAGGGCCTACGTATCTGGGACTGAGCTTCCCTTTCTTGACAAATCTCATCACCTCCTTCATAGGTGACACTTTTAGGAAAACCCAATCATCAACTTGGAACTCTAGTTCCCTTCTTCTTACATATGCATAAGATTTCTGGCGACTCTGGGCTGTCTTAAGTCTATCTCGAATCAGTTGCACTTTCTCCATAGCATCATGAACTGAATCTGGCCCTATCAAGGCTGCTTCACCTACTTCAAACCAACCATCCAGAGATCTACATTGACGCCCATATAATGCCTCACAAGGAGCCATCTGAATGCTGGAATGGTAGCTATTGTTGTAGGCAAACTCAATAAGAGGAAGGTGATTGTCCCAACTACCCTTGAAGTCGATCACACAAGCTCTCAACATGTCCTCTAAGGAATGAATGGTACGCTATGCCTGACCATCAGTCTGTGGGTGAAATGTTGTGCTAAGATTAACTTGAGTACCAAGACCTTTCTGAAATGACTTCCAAAAATGAGGGTAAACTGAGGACCTCTATCTTATATGATAGACAAAGGAACCCCATGCAACCTAACTACCTCATTAATGAAAAGCTTGGCATATTCCTCTGCCAAACCTGTAGTCTTGACTGCCAAAAAGCGAGAAGACTTAGTAACTCTGTCAACTATCACCCAAATGGAGTCATGTTGTCTGCGAGTACGAGGTAAACCTGTGATGAAAATCAAATGTTGATCACTTCCCACTTCCAAGTAAGAATGTCGATCTCTTGAGTCATACCCCCTGGTTTCTGATGTTCTACCTTAACTTGCTACCAATTTGGGCAGTTAGCCACAAAATCTGCTATATCTCTTTTCATACCACTCCACCAATAGACTTCCCGCAGGTCGCGGTACATCTTAGTGGCGCCTGGATGAATAGAATATCTGGAGTTATGGGCTGCTGCAAGAATATGCTGTCTCAACTCGCCCACAATAGGAACACATAATCGACCCTGGTAGCGAAGCACACCATCTCCACCTTGGGAGAATACCTCAACTCTCTGTTGATGGACTGTACCCTTGAGTTTGATAAATATCAGATCATTGTCTTGATTTTCCTTAACCTCTACTACTAATGAAGATTCTGCCCCATTCTGAACAGTTACACCACCATCTGATATGCTCATAAGACGAACTCCTAGGCGAGCAAGTCTATGAACATCCTTTGCTAGCTCTTTTCTTTGTTCCTCAACATGAGCTACACTACCCATAGATAGTCTGCTAAGGGCATCTTTACATATTGAAGGCTCTTATGGTCTGTGACCACATCTACATGAACACCATACAAGTAGTGTCTCCAAATCTTGAGTGCAAACACCACTGCTGCAAGCTCGAGGTCATGAGTTGGATAATTCTTCTCATGTACCTTAAGTTGTCTAGAAGCATAAGCTATAACCTTACCTCGCTGCATCAACACACAACCTAGGCCGACCCTGGATGCATCACAATAGATCACATAACCATCTGAACCCTCTGGTAGAGTCAAGACAGGAGTTGTAGTCAACCTAGTTTTCAATTCTGCGAAGCTTTTCTCACAATCATCTGACCATTGGAACTTAACCTTTTTCTGAGTCAACTTAGTCAATGGAGAGGCTATGGATGGAAACCCTTCCACGAACCTTCTGTAGTAACCCTCTAGACCCAAAAAATTCTGATGTCTGAAGGAGTGGTAGGTCTGGGCCATTGTTTCACTGCTTCTATCTTCTGGGAATCTACTCGAATTCCTTCACTAGACACAATATGCCTAAGGAAGGCAACTGATTGTAACCAAAACTCGCACTTGTTAAATTTTGCAAATAACTGGCGATCTTTGAGAGTCTGCAGAACAACTCTCAAATGACTCGCATGTTATTCCTCATTCCTAGAGTAAATGAGGATGTCATCAATAAAGACGATGACGAACAAGTCCAAGTACTGCTTTGCACGAGCATTGGTTAGTCCAAATGACATAACTACAAATTCGTAATGACCATACCGAGTTCTGAAGGCTGTCTTCGGAATGTCACTATCTCTGACTCTAAGCTGATGATAACCTGATCTGAGGTCTATCTTTTAGAAATAACTAGCACCCTTAACTTGGTCAAACAAGTCATCAATCTTGGGGATGGGATAGTTATTCTTGATTGTGACCTTGTTCAACTGCCTATAGTCAATGCACATTCTGAGAGAACCATCTTTCTTCTTCACGAACAACACTGGTGCACCCCATGGCGAAATACTAGGTCTGATGAAGCCCTTATCTAGAAGGTCTTTCAACTGCTCTTTCAATTCCTTGAGCTCAGCTGGAGCCATTCTGTAAGGAGGAATAGAGATAGGCTGGGAATCTGGAAGAAGATCAATTCCAAAGTCGATTGCCCTATCGAGCGAAACTCTGGGAAGATCTTCTGGAAACACTTCTGGGAACTCATTAACCACAGGAACTGACTCAAAAGTTGGGGTTTCGGAGCTAGAATCCTTAACCCAAACTAGATGATAGAGATAACCCTTAGAGATCATCTTTCTAGCCTTGAGGTAAGAAATGAATCGACCCATATGCGCTAAGCTACTACCCTTCCATTCTAAGATTAGTTTGTTTGGAAATTGAAAACGAACAATCCTAGTTTTGCAATCGACTAAGGCATAATAGGAATGTAACCAATCCATGCCTAGAATGACATCGAATTCTACCATTTATAACTCTACAAGATCTGTTGAGGTGACTTTCTGAGAGACTGTAACAGGGCAATTTATGTATACTCGTCTAGCTATAACTAGGTCACTGACTGGAGTAGAGACTAAGAAAGGTTCTGAGAGAGTTTCTGGACTAACACCAAACTTAACTTCTATATAAGGAGTTACAAAGAAAAGAGTAGCCCCTGGATCAAACAAAGCATAAACATCGAGATCAAAGACTCGTAACGTACCAGTGACAACATCAGGAGATTCTTTTTTATCCTGGCGAGCATACAACCTATTTTGGCACGGGCCGCCACCTGTACCAAATGAGTTACCCTGCTGAGTCGGGTGACCTGTTGGTGCTGCTGAAGTTGTAGACTGGGCTCGATTAGCATTGCCTTATTGACCCTGTTTAGAAGGACAATACCTCAACCAGTGACCAGACTGACCACACCCAAAACATCCTTCCTTTCCTGCAAGTCACTCGCCCAGATGGTTCTTACCACACTTAGGGCAAGTTGGGTAGGTTTTGGTTCCTGTGACTTAGAGCCTGATGCCTTACCTTTTTGATCTTGTCTGAACTTGGAGGATGGAACATTAGCTGATGAAGGTGCTGGAGTTGAAGACTTCTGTTGATACTACGAGCAATTTCCACCACCCGATTTCTGTTGAGAATAGTCATAGTTGCCTCTCCTAGCTTTCTTATTCTCCTTTGCATGTTCCCTAAGCTTATCACCCTCAACCTGCTGAGCATGAGTCATGAGCCTAAAGATGCTTATATTTTCCAGCAACATAGCATTTCTAAACTCTGTCTTCACCAAGTCTGACACTCCATATAGAAACGTATTCATCTGAGTCCTAGAATCAACAACCATGTGAGGAGCATACTTGGAGAGTTGGGTAAACTTGAGCCCACACTCTTGGACTGTCATACTACGTTCATAAATTCCTGAGCTTTTGCCTCCCTTAGCTCTCTTGGGAAAAAATTGTACAGAAAGGTCTCACTAGAGCAATCCTAAGAGATAGGAGTTGCATCTGTACCCATGTTCTCCTTCCACTAAGTATACTAGATATGAGCTACATCCTTAAGTTGGTAAGATGCTAACTCAACCCGTTCATTCCCAGTTACCTTCATCACTTCAAAGATCTTTTTGACCTCATCAATGAAGTTTTGGGGATCCTTACCAATCTGCGATCCTAAGCACTCTGGCGGATTCATCCTGACAAAATCTCGCACTCTGACTGCAGCCGACCCAACATTAGAATTTTTCGGAGCTGGAACCCGCTGATTGTTCTAGTTGGCAATGCTCTGAGCCAACATCTGAATGGCGTTCCAGAATTTTGCATTCAAAACTTCTTGATCTGTGACTGGAGGAGTTGTGTTTGCGTTTGCGTTCCTAGTAGGGGTGTGCATTCGGTTTTTCAATTTGGTTTTGCACTATTCGGTTTGGATTTTTTGGTTTTTGGTTTTGTAAAAGTGTAACCCAATTCGAATCAAAATAAATTTGGTTTGGTTTGGTTTTCCTCTATTTGGTTCGGGTCTTTTCGGTTTGGTTATTCTGTTATGTCAATAATTAATAACATAACCAAAGTAATATTATTGAATCCCTTAAATATACTTTCTAATATAAATCATAAGAAAAACATAAAACACAATATTTATAAATATACCTATTATAGATGTTAAAGCATAAAATATAAACGTAATCATCGTGAAAGGCAATAACCAAAAAGGGACAAAAGTGGTTAACTCCAACTTAATTCTAAGCCTATATATATATATATATATATAGAGAGAGAGAGAGAGAGATAGAAAGATATAGATATAATTCAGTTTTTTCGATTTTATTTTTTTAAATCCGAAACCAAACCAAAAAACCAAACAAAGTAATTTATTAATCCAAAACCAATCCAAAAAACCAAATAAAAATTTGTTATGATTTGGTTTGGTTATTCGGTTTAACCCGAATAGTGCACACCCCTACTTTCTGGCATTCGCATTCCTGGCGTTAGCTCTACAAGGAGGCATGATCACTGAAACGTAGAACGTCAAGTTAGAATGGAATTAGATCATACCTTACGCACGATAACAGTAACAAGGAAATGAAGATTTTTCCTAAAGCACTTTGTAGCCTCCCTCTCATTAGATGTGGTGCACTTCACACTGATGAAAAGGACTCTACTTAGTGCGACTTTTCAGACATCCTAGGACTC